AAATGAGTCATGATTCAGTTTTTTAAAAAATTACTTAAGATTCTCTCTATTGTTGACTATATGGCATATTTTTAGAAATACTTACATGCACTAATGTTAAGAATGTCCATTCTTCAAGATTTTTTAAAAAGTATTCTGTAAGTGTCTATTTAAAACCTTTTCTCTAAAATACATTTTAACTTTGCCATTTTCTTTCTGTTTTTGTCTGAATGCTGTACCTATCATTGACAGTAGGATGTTGAAATTACTCACTATCATATATTGAGTTCTGTGTTTCATTTTACATTTAGAACTATTTCATTTAAAATTTTAATTAATCATATATATATATATATATATATATATATATTTGTGATCACTGAGGACAACTTAGTTAAAAAAACAAAATTTCCAAGGTGTTTTGAAACACCTTGTGATGTTTTTTTGTGATGAACTGTGTCTTTAACCAAAATGTAGTGACATCTATTTTCCAATTAATTGTGCCTGAAAGCCTATTTTGTTAGACTTAAGTATATTAATTGCCATATATTTTCATATTCCATTAGCTTGCAATACAATTTTTGTCTTTTCACTTTTAGTCTGCATAGGTCTATTTTTGTGAGTTGAATTTCTTATGAGTAATATGTTGTTTGGTATTATTTTTAAACTTCAAACAATCTGGAGATGTTAGTGGAGGATTTAAGATTATGCATATTTAGAATTATTAACTATATGTACTAGGGGTTGGGGAGATGGCTCAATAGAAAAAGCGCTTCCTTGGCAAGTTCAAGGGCCTGAGTTAAATCCCTGGTTCAAAAAAAACCTTTAAAATAGATGTACTCATTATTTCTACTTTATTAATTTTGTTTATTACCTCAATTTTTAGGCATTTGAGAACTTTGAGTATTTACTATATTTGTGTTTTATTCTTTCCTATTTGTAATTTCTCTATCAACTTTTCCCACTGGAGTTATATTTTCACATACTCTCAATATGCTATATTTTCTCATGGGTCTGTAAATTTTCCTTATGTTTTGTAATTTTGGTTTATTATCTTTGTTTATGTTTATAACTGAATGTCTTCATTTTTCCTCTTCTTTATAATATCTTATGTCTAGTACTGTAGTCTTGACGTAATGTACCAAGGAAAGAGCAGAAGTGTGCCATTGTGTGGACTGGGGTGCAAATTCCCTGAGCTGGTGTGGAAATATAGTTTAATGACAGAGCACATGTCCAATGTGCTAGTGTACATCAGTCTGTGCACAATGCCTTGCACATTCTCAAGTTCCAGAAAAATATAAAAAGATTTTTTTCTTAAAGTTAAAAAGACAAACGAGGAAACAGGCAAATGCAAAACCAAATATTAAAAAATTGAATTGAAAAAATGAAAAAAGAAGAAAAAGACAATAAAAAGAATAAAAAATTAATATTTCGAAAAGGATAACATATTAAAAAGTAAAGGAAAGGGGCCAGGAAGATAGCTCAGTAGAATAAGTGCTTGCCTGACAAGCACAAGGACTCAAGTTCAATCCCCGTTTCTGCCCCCCCCAAAAAAGTAAAGTAACATAGAGGAAAGGAGAAAAACTCTTAAAAGAGTAAACAAATTTCTTCCTCACTGAGGCTTTTGAATGAGAGAAGGAGATTGATGATAGCAAAAAGAACTTTTCTCCATATCTTTTAGGCTGTTTATCCACACAGTGATAGCTAAGGACTTTCAAATCCTGAGTCTTTCATTTTTCTTCTTTCACTGTAGCTAACAAGAGTGACTTGTGGTGAAATGTGATTGAAATTACCCTTGGCTATTTTAAGCAGGTATCAGCTAGTACAGAAATTGGAGCACAGTAAACAATGATTTTCCATGGAAATTCTTAGGCTTTGTGCTCAATGTTCAGACAAAGGCCCATGTTGTCTATGTTACTGAAGATGAACAGGTTTAATGCAGCTGCAAACATCTGTGCTGGAAGGGCTACTGAGGTGTTCTATATGATGTGCTGTCCTCAGCCCTGGAGCCCTCAGTCTTGACTCCTGGTAGAAATTGACATTTTCTGCCCACTACAGAAAGAACACAAGCTTGGCAAACACCTTTTATGGGGAAATATCCCTGCTTCTTTCCATAGTAAATATTTCCACAGAATAGGATTCTGAGAGGATTTCTTTGAGAGACATCCTCTAAGTCCAAATTGTCTGAGGAGTAGCAATGTGGGTAGTCAGGCAGTGACATGGAATGTCCACAGAATCCTGAAAAGAGAAAAATGCAGAATTTTCTGAACCCTAGAGAACAAGACCAGAAAATAAAACCTTTCTCAAGAGAGCATCTTGATGTAACACCCCAAGAAATTGCTAGAGAGGCATCAAGCATCTTGTCTAAAGCTGCTGGCCAAACAAACCATCGATATTGCCTCTCCTTAGATACTGTACATACAAGGTTCTGTATTCTGCCATAGTAGAATTTCTAAGGACTCTTTCACTTATATCCCTGCTGAGGAGCTACTCTCCCTATCCAGTTGTGTTGCTTGATAACAGGTAACAGAGCGCTCTGTTTCTTTTACAAACTATCTGCGATTCTCCAGTCCTCCAAGTTTCTACTCCTAAATTCTCATGTTCTTGCATTGCCACATATCTCAGTTTATGGTAGACGTATGCTGATTTGCTCCTATAATGAGGATACAGTGCTGAATTTCAGGTATCTCTTTTCATCATCTTGTTTTCTTTCTGAAGTTTTTTCAAATCTCCAAGCATTCAAAATACACATTTTTCTATCAAATAGTACATATGTGGTTAAAACCCCTTAGTAATAGTATTATTAATATGTCAATAAATTAAATGTGGGATAAAATCCGAGGATTGACAGAAATGGAAAAACAATACATTATGGTGTTTTTAATATTCAAGGAACAAGCTGGACTTGACAATACATGCCCATAGTCCTTGCTGCTTATAAGCCAGAAATAGAAGGACTTGAACCAAGTAGCTGGATCCAAGCTTGAAAAACACAGTACAAGCATATTCTTTAAGGAAAGAGAAAGGGTGGTGGGGGAGGAGGGATACAGGAGGAAGTATAAAAAAAGATGTAGTATATGGTAGTGCATGATTGAAACCTAATTCCTCAGGAAGCAAAAAGGGCAGGATTGGACATGGAAGTCCAGCCTGGAGAATATCGTAAGATGACATTAAAGATTATTTGAGAGAAAATTACATTTTTTTCCCTCACTATAACTGAAATACATAGATAGTGAAAACTAGCACAGGAACATAACAGGTAAAGGTGACTAAAAATGAATATTAAGATCATGTATTTCTGGAATATTTTGTATACCATAATTAATACTTTAAAAAAACAAATTTACAGTCATAAATGGTGACATGATATAACTGTATCTATATTGAAGAATTTTTAATATTTTGACATTGGCATGTAACAAAATTTCACAACATATATGGTATGGTTTCAGTACTTGTTTTGAAATAGATTGTGAAAGTAAAATAGTTCAGTGTATAAGTGACTTGTATAGTTTCTTTTCCAAGATTTGGTTTTTGGTAAGTTGGTGATTGTGTTATTTCTGCATGTATGAAGAACAGTATACCCACAGCAACACTACATACATGTACCTAGTTGCAGAACTTTATTTCCAAAAACTAATAGATTTATGAAGTGTAAAGCATAAATTGTTAAGGTTCTAAAGGTATTAATATCCCTGACCAAATCTTATGGGATGAAGCTAAATCGATCAGCATATGTATGCCTATACACAGATGTCTCCGCTACTCTTCTTGCTGGACAGAATGCCCATTTCACTCACATTTAGTGGTAGTTTCAGTCCATAGTTGGCTGGCTTAAAGGCAGAGTGACAAAAGGCAGAGAGCAGCCTTTCATGGTGGTGGAAAACAGCAAAGAGCAAAGGCAAAGGGGAGGAACAGTGGCAGCACTAGCCACAAGAGAGGCAAAGAGCAAGCCTCCCTGCCTTACTTAAATTGCACTCAGGCTGTCTGCCCCAGGCTGGGCGTAGCACTCACATCCATAATCTCAGCATTAGACTGTGAATTAATCACAAATTTTAGAAGCTGCCCCACTGACTTCATGAGGATTTGGGGGAACAACTACACATAAACCATAACAACATATACATGTGATTTGTATATATAAATATTACTTTATCAGTTAATAAAGACAAGCTGAAATTCTACAAATAAAAATTCACAGCAACCTAGAAAAAGAAAGGAAACTAAATTCAACGAAGAACACAGGAAAAAATAGTTAACATCCACATAATATTTTAGAGCTGGGCATATAGCTCAGTAACACAAGCACTTACTTGGCAAGCACAAGGTCCTGAGTTTGATTCCTGGTACAAAAAAATGATAATTTATAAAATAACAGAAAAACAATAAGCAAAGCTAAATTTTATTCTACCAAATGTTAAGCTGGAACCACAAAGAACATTGATCAAATATACACCATGAGAACACTTTTAAATGCTTCCACAGAACAGGATGGTATTTGTAACTATCAAACAATGAGTATTTTCATTGTGAACACCTAGTACAAAAACTTTACATTAATATATCAAACTTGTATTTGAAATTCATAAGTCTTGAAGCATATAATAACAAACTACCCCAGGAATAAATAAAAATGCTCACTAAACCTTTCTTCCTCTACTTTGGCTTTCTCAGGTACTTGGTCATATTAAAAATAAACTAAGGTGAGCAATATAAATTTGTTTTTATTATCTAACAATCATTCTTTATTTGGAGCATATAGCTCAGTAACATCAGCACCTACCTGGCAAGCACAAGGTCCTGAGTTTGATTCCTGGTACAAAAAAAAGATAACTTATAAAATAACATAAAAACAATATACAAAGTTAAATTTTATTCTACCAAATGTTAAACTTTGTGTATAAAACAGTAAAGAAGAATGATTTGGCTGATCTAGCCTAAGAAGATGATGAAAAAAATTGGGGCTGTGGATATAAGCAAATGCTGAGCCTGCACTAAAGATAATTTGAATTCCTCACCAGATATGGATCAGTGTATAAAATGTCGAGATCACCAGTATGCCAACATAGAGCAAAACTCCTGTCTCCAAAAAACTGTGACCTTCCTGGCCTATGAAGATCCACTGGGGATGTCTCTTGCCTGTGTTGCCCTATGCTTCTCTGCACTCACTGCTGCTGTTTTTGGAGTCTTTGTGAAGCATCGAGACACACCTATAGTTAAGGCCAATAATCAGGCTCTCAGCTACATTCTACTCATCTCTCTCACCTTCTGCTTCCTCTGCTCCTTACTCTTCATTGGTCATCCCAACACGGTCACCTGCATCCTCCAGCAGACAACATTTGGAGTTGTGTTCACTTTGGCAATTTCTACTGTCTTGGCTAAAACTATTACCGTTGTTCTAGCTTTCAAGGTCACCGTGCCAGACAGAAGGATAAGGCAGTTCCTGATATCAGGGGCACCTAACTTTGTCGTTCCACTGTGCACTGTGATCCAAGTGATCCTCTGTGGAATCTGGTTGGGTACTTCTCCTCCTTTCATCGACATGGATTCACATTCTGAACATGGTCACATCATCATTGTGTGTAACAAAGGTTCAGTCACTGCTTTCTACAGTGTTCTGGGATATCTGGGCTCTTTGGCCTTGGGGAGTTTCACATTGGCTTTTCTGGTCAGGAACCTGCCTGATATGTTCAATGAAGCCAAATTCCTGACATTTAGCATGTTGGTGTTCTGTAGTGTCTGGATCACCTTCCTTCCTGTTTACCACAGCACCAAGGGGAAGGCCATGGTGGCTGTGGAGATATTCTCTATCCTGGCCTCCAGTGCAGGACTCCTGGGATGCATCTTTGCCCCCAAGTGCTACATTATTTTATTAAGGCCATATAGGAGCTCTCTGCATGGCTTCAGTTATAAAACACATTCTGACAATAATAGACTTGCTTAAATTTTAAATCATATGTTTTTAAATTGGAGGGCTTAAATACAATTCCACAATGTTCTGCTACTTTATTTTTTGAAAGAATCATAAGATTTTTCTTCTCTGTCTACAATATTATACTCAGCACAACGTACACTCATAATCTTATTGATATCTTATTCCACTTTTCGCTCTGTTCCCTCTATGAATAATTTTGCTTTTCTGGTCTGATTTTGTATGTAGAATACTTCCTAATATGGTTTTCCTTTGGACTTTTAAAAGGTGAACCACACATGTTTTATTCTTTCATTTATTTGTGGTTACCAAAGGATTACAAACTATTTATAAAGTATTCCCTAATTTCCCTGTTTTCAATGTATCGGTTCTTTTTCTGGCCTCTCAATGTATTTTTTTGTTTGTTTGTTTGTTTGTTTTGTTTGTGGAACCAGGGATTGAACTCAGGCCCTTGTACTTGCCAGGGAAGTGCTTATTCTATTGAGCCATCTCTCTGGCCTCCCAATGTATTTTATATAGTAAGTTTAATTTCTGTTTTCTGGCAGAAGAATAAAATTGGTTTATTGGATAAAACTAAATTTTACCTAATGGAACAACTTCACACAAAGCTTTACAGAATGAAATGCTTACAACATTCAGCTTTAAGATTACATTTTTCTTTGAAAGAATACAAAATAGTGATAGAGGAAAAAAATAGCATTAGGAACGATACAAGATTTCACTAAACAAAGTAATAGGAATTCAACAATGGTTGCTGCATTACTTCAGATTAATTGTTCAGATTGCCAGATATAAGCATTCAAGATTCCTTTTTCTTTTTTCTTTTCTTTCTTTTTTTTTTTTTTGACAAGGTCAACAAGATCTACAGTGTTTCACTACATAGATCAGACTCATAGATCCTCCTGTGTTCAGCCTCCCAAGAGCTAGGATTACATGCACAGGCCACCACATGCAGTCTCAATCACCATCTCGGTGCGCCCCAGGGGTAGGGCCACATGGTAAGCCAGGGATCAAACCCTGGCCATTGCATCTGCCTACGCAGGTGCTTTAATCCACTGAGCTATCTGACCGGCCCTTGAGCTTCATTTAGAAAAAAAATAAAACAATAACGAAGAAGTTAAAAAATTCAAAAGAGAAGAAAAAATGAGAGTAAAAAAATTTTTAAGCATTAACTGTTCTTTTCAAAGACCAGCAGAAGTCGACAACATAATTATCCAAACTATTCTATATGTATAGAAACTGAGTGGCAATTACTTTGGCTACATTTCAGTTAATCACATGGGCAATTAACTGTTTAATTTCTTTTGAAATAAGGCAAATAGTCTCATATAAGAAATCAAAGTGTCTTACTACCCCACTTCCCATATTGCTCCTGAAATGCCAAAATCACATTTTCAACTATTCATTTCTCCACAATTTGTCATCTTTGTTAAAATGGTAGACAGGCCCCCACATCAAACCATTTACTTATATTAAGTTGTGAGTCTTATCTACAGGCACTTACTAGAATTTCTTTTTTCTTTGTTTAAAGAGTGTTTAAGTCCCATGTTCAACTATCTCGTTTTGTTTTCAAATCTTTTCTATGAATCCTCATGTTTGCAGAAATATTCGGACCTTATTGACATGATTTTTATGCTATTAATCTGTGATTAGCATAATTTACACCATAATTTCATTCCATGAAACTTTAGATGTCAGAGAAAAAAAATTGGGTTTTTTTTTGGTCTACAATTCAAAAGTGAATAAATAAGGGCCGGGGAGATGGCTCTAGAATAAGCACTTTCCTGGTAAGCGCAAGGGCCTGAGTTCAATCCCCATTTCCGCAAAATAAAAATAAATAAATAAATAAATAAATAAATAAAACTAATGTCTATTTTTGGAAATCTGTTGTGCAGGTAATTATTTACTGCCAAATGGATGCTGAAAGATAATCCAAGATGCTATCTGGGAATCAAAGTTCTCATTTCTTTCTACAATAATTCTTTCAGCTAAGAGAAAACAGAGGCCTCTATATAGCAAAAGTATTCCAGATGCATAAGAGATAAATATGAGTTGGTTTGACATATAGGACTTTGGAGAAGAACATAAAGAGCTAGTAAAGACTGATAACAAAGAATATTAAAAACAAACTATCTTAATCAAAGGGGATAAAGGAGGCAAGCATGAAGAATGAGGAAGAAAACTCCTGTAATTTAGTTGTAAAGTAAAAAGTAATATGGAATCAAGAAGCAGAGATTATGTAAAATATGAATAAAAGTTGGACTTTAAGCTTATCATAAAAGTGAGGGCATTTATCAAGAAACAGACAGAGAAGTAAGGATTACTCTTAAATGATTTCATTTTGCATTTGAATTTTGATGTACATAGGCTTATTGAAAACATGTTAGGATAAAAAATTTTATTCATAGTTTTATGTACAAGTTTACTTAAAGGTATAGTAATGAATATTATTCTAGTAGCATTGTGAATACTATGAAAATTACCAAGCATTCGTTACTATTTTTTAGATGTGATTTTCCCAAGGTTTTTTATTCAACATCAATTGCTTCTTTATTTACAAAATCTAAAATAAAATAAGCTCCTGTATGGACTACAAAGAAAATAAAGTAAATCTATAACAAAAATAGTCTTTACTTCAATGATCACATCTAAGGCAGTCTTCACTAAGCAAGATTTCAGTGCTTGCATGCACATATGTTTGCCTGCCTGTCTTTCTTGGTAGGACATAATTGACATCTTCTTGATCTTGTTTTATTGTTAGGAGGCTCTTGTGATGTTTCTCTTGTCTGTTCACAGAATTCTGCTCCAGAATTTTTGTTGTTTGTTTGTTTTTGAGAGAGAACTTCTCACTATGTGGTGAAGGCTGGCCTGCCTTCATCTCACAACATCGCCCAGGCTGACCTTGAACTCAGAATCTTCTTGCCTCAGCCTCCTGAGTACTGTGATTCTAGACATGTGTGGGAGACCACACCCAGCTTCACAATCAATCTTATCATCATAGTTTATTATTGATAGTATCAATGCTTTGTTTTTCTTTACCACGTACAAGGCCAATATTATGCCTTTCTGAAATCCAGATGGTATACATTTGTCTATTGTGATCTTGAAATAATTGTTCCAGGGATTTCTGCTTTGTTCTTGACAAGAGTTCCTGTGCTATGTAACTGGTGACCTTTCAGCAAATGTAATCAGTGGGTAACTAGCTAAGCAACTGTCAAAGAAAAAAAGTGGGTTTTTTTTTTTTTTGGTTACTTTTTTTTTCTATAGATACAAGAAGTCTGTCCATAATCAACCCTCTATGGTTTATTACTGCAGGAATAAAGAGCTGGTGGCTGAGCTCCACAATAAATTTCTAAATTCAAAGTGCAATATGTCTTCCTGCCTGTGGGGGCATATATTTTCATACTATATTTTGAAGGCTTATTTGGCCTATACTGCTGAAAGCTGCAGCAACCATGACTAAAGCGAGGTGCTCATCAGTTGCCATGCACTTGGGCGATGCATGAATTGCTTGGCAGCTCAAAACAAAGCTTCCAGAAAATGAGCAAATCGCAGCCAAACTGTCTCATATTTTTCTTTTCTGATGGTCTTTTTGTTGTCAAAACAGGCAATTTTGAAGGAAATCAAATCTCTTGAGTGTCTTTGTTCTAAAAATCTCAATGATACACCTGTCGCTTCTCCATAGATCCTTTAGATTCTGATGATTAGCATGGTAAAGTCCTGCCTTGAAGGCTGTTATTCAGACAGTGAGGTGGCATGATAGAAATATCTCAAGTACTATCACTCAAGCACATAGAATGTTTTAATTGCACTTTGTTCCCAGTGTGCGTCACATTTGTAGCATAATGTCTGTTACACTCAATTTCCATCTCAATTTCCACTGAGTTGTGGTGCTGGCATTCCTTCAATAGTTTTCACCCATAACATTTTCCAGCCTAGTTCAAATGCTGGATTGTTCAGGTACATATGTAGCCTTTCAACTAGTCAAGTACTTATGGACATTCCTTTTCTCCTCCTCATGTAAATCAAGGTCTTCTTTCTCTATTTCCCTGTCACATCTTGCTCCACCCCACTGTCACAAATTCTCTGGCTTATGCGATCCCAGGCATCAATGGTAGCCACATCTCCTGAAGACTCATTTTCAACCTTGCCCCATAGTTTAAAATCAAATTTTCAGGTGACATTGTACAGAGCTGGGCTAATCCTGTTCCTGCTTTGTGCACACGGATGTGCACCTTGCCGTCCATCTACCAAGTGGGTGAACACAAAGATTGCTTCCTGCATTCCCCTAGTGCAGCTACTAAGATGCAGACCGTTAAGCTAAAGGAAACATTTTCATTAGGAAAGTACAGTGTGGGTGACTGCTACTCAGCGGAGCCTCAAGGACAACCCTGGCAGAAGGTGCCTGTCAGCCTGTGCCTTACCTCTCTCTGTCAGGTGTCACCTGGAATGTTCATTGCAATACAGAGATAAGTGGACAGGAGGAAGCACTCACAGGTTCTTAAAGGCATCTGCATGCAGGTGCTGAGGCAGCCTCTCGGTGACATTGGGCTGGAGCAAGCTGCCTGAGGACCTCCTCAGCACTCTGCCCAGGACTTGCACACACTCCAGGGAGCTCAGCACCTGGGAACACCTCTCCAGTGTCACGAGAAAAAGGTTGCGGTTCACCCCAGGGCTCTGCAGGGCTTGTTCCAGCACCTTTCTCAAGTCATTGACAATGTCCTGCAGGTCCAAGTGGTACTGCTTGTCCTCTAAGAGGCATTTCACGGCAGTGTGGAACTACTGGGCATCAGCCTTTCTGAGGTTCTCCAGGACCTTCTGGAGCTGATACAGCCACCGTTGCAGATGGTTCTTCATGGCTGCCTGAAGGCCGGGAAGGATGAAGGCAACATTCCAGGAATGCAGGTAGTGCAGGGCCTGGTAGGACAGGTCAGTTGTCGACCCATGGGCACTTTGAAACTGTGTGAGATTCAGAAATGTATTTAGATAGCTTCCCTCTATGACTTCTTCAG